GAAATACAGAGCCATCCAAGGCTCACTCAAAAAAATAGAAAAATCCCGAATTCACCAACTAACTCTACACCTTAAAGAACTAGAGAAAAAGCAACAAATGACGCCTAAGCCACGCATTAGAAAAGAAATAATTAAAATTAGAGCAGAAATCAATGAATTAGAAACCAGAAACACAGTAGATCAGATCAACGAAATTAGAAGTTGGTTCTTTGAAAGAATTAATAAGATTGATAAACCACTGGCCAGACTTCTCCAAAAGAAACGAGAAAGGACCCAAATTAATAAAATTATAAATGAAAAGGGAGAGATCATGACTAACACCAAGGAAATAGAAACAATTATTAGAAATTATTATCAACAACTATATGCCAATAAACTGAGCAATCTGGATGAAATGGAGGCCTTCCTGGAAACCTATAGGCTGCCAAGACTGAAACAGGAAGAAATTGACAACCTGAATAGGCCAATAACCAGTAATGAGATTGAAGCAGTGATCCAAAACCTCCCAAAAAACAAGAGTCCAGGGCCTGATGGATTCCCTGGGGAATTCTACCAAACATTCAAAGAAGAAATAATACCTATTCTACTGAAGCTGTTTCAAAAAATAGAAACAGAAGGAAAACTTCCAAACTCATTCTATGAGGCCAGCATTATCTTAATCCCCAAACAAGGCAAAGACCCCATCAAGAAGAATTTCAGACCGATATCTCTTATGAATATGGATTCCAAAATTCTCAGCAAAATTCTAGCTAACAGGATCCAACAATACATTAAAAGGATCACCCACCACGACTAAGTAGGTTTTATCCCCGGGATGCAAGGGTAGTTCAGCATTTGCAAATTAATCAATGTGATAGAACACGTTAATAAGAGGAGAGAAGAACTATATGGTCCTCTCAATGGATGCAGAATAAGCATTTGACAAAATATAGCATCCTTTCCTGATTAAAACTCCTCAGAGTATAGGGACAGAGGGAACATTCCTTAAGTTCATAAAATCCATCTATGAAAAACCCACAGCGAATATCATCCTCAATGGGGAAAACCTGAGAGCCTTTCCCTTAAGATTAGGAACACGTTGTTGGGCCATGGTGGCTCAGTCATTAAGCATCTGCCTCTGGCTCAGGTCATTGTCCCAGGGTCCTGGGATTGAGCCCCACATCAGGCTCCCTGCTCAGTGAGGATTCCTCTTCTACCTCTCACACTTCCCCTGCTTGTGTTCCCTCTTTTGCTGTGTCTCTCTCTGTCAAATAAATAGAGGAAATCGTTAAAAAAAAAATCAGGAATATGTCAAGGATACCCCCTCTCGCCACTCTTCTTCAACATATTACTAGTATTCCTAACAACAGCAATCAGACAACAAAAAGAAATAAAAGGTATTCACGTTCACAAAGAAGAAGTCAAACTCTGTCACTTCGCAGATGACATGATCCTTTATGTGGAAAATCCAAAAGACCACCTTCAAATTTCTAGAACTCATTCAGCAATTCAGTAATGTGGCAGGATACAAAATCATTGCACAGAAATCAGTTGATTTCTTATACACTAGCAATGCAACTCTAGAAAGAGAATTTAGAGAAGTGATTCCATTTACAGTAGAACCAAAAACCATAGATATCTCAGAATAAACCTAACCAAAGAGGTAAAGAATCTATACTCTAGGAACTACAGAACACTCATGAAAGAAATTGAAGAAGACACAAAAAGATGGAAAAACATTCCATGCTCATGGATCGGAAGAAAAAAACATTGTTAAAATGTCTATACTACCCAGAGCAATCTATACCTTCAATGCCATCCCGATGAAAATACCAATGGCATTTTTCAAATTCCCATAACAAACAATCCTAAAATTTGTATGGAATCACAAAAAAACCCTAATCACCAAAGAGATGTTGAGAAAGAAAAACACAGCTAGGGGCTTCACTTTTCCAGATTTCAAGCCATATTACAAAGCTGTGATCACCAAGACAACATGGTACTTGCACAAAAACAGACATATAGACCAATGGAACAGAATAGAGAGCCAAGATATGGACCCTGAACTCTATGGTTAAATAATCTTCTACAAAGCAGGAAAAAACATGCAATGGGAAAAAGACAGTCTCTTCAATAAATGGTGCTGGCGAAATTGGACAGCTATATATAGAAGAATGAAACTCGACCATTCTCTAATGCCATACACAAAGATAAACTCAAAATGGATGACTTTCATCCTCAATGTGAGACAGGAATCCATCAAAATCCTAGAGGAGAACATAGGCAGTAACCTCTTCGACATTGGCCACAGCAACTTCTTTCAAGATACATCTCCAAAAGCTAGTGAAGCAAAAGCAAAAATGAACTTTTGGGGCTTCATCAAGATCAAAAGCTTCTGCACAGCAAAGGAAACAGTCAACAAAACAAAGAGGCAACCCACGGAATGGGAGAAGATATCTGCAAATGACACTACAGATAAAGTGCTGGTATGCAAGATCTATAAAGAACTTCTCAAACTCAATACCCAAAAAACAAATAATCAAGTCAAAAAGTGGGCAGAAGACATGAACAGACACTTCTCCAAAAAAGACATACAAATGGCTAACAGACAGATGAAAAAATATTCATCACCTTTAGCCATCAGGGAAATTCAAATCAAAACCACACTGAGATACCACCTTAATACCAGTTAGAATGGCAAAAATTGACAAGGCAAAAATCAACAAATGTTGGAGAGGTTGTGGAGAATGGAGAACACTTTTACACTGTTGGTGGGAATGCAAGTTGGTACAGCCACTTTAGAAAACAATGTGGAGGTTCCTCAAAAATTTAAAAGTATCGCTACCCTATGACCCAGCAATCGCACTCCTTGATATTTATCCCAAGGACCAGATGTAGTGAATAGAAGGGCCATATGCATCCCAATGTTCATAGCATCTATGTCCTCAATAGCCAAACTGTGAAAAGAGCCAAGATGTCCTTCAACAGATGAATGGATAAAGAAGATGTGGTCCATATATACAATGGAATATTACTCAGCCATCAGAAAGGATGAATACCCAACTTTTACATCAACATGGATGGGACTGGAGGAGATTATGCTAAGTGAAATAAGTCAAGCAGAGAAAGTCTATCATATGGTTTCACTGATTTGTGGAACATAAGGAATAGCATGGAGGACATTAGAAGGAAGGGAAAAATGAAGGGGCAGAAATTGGATGGGGTGACGAACCATGAGAGACTATAGACTCTGAGAAACAAACTGAGGGTTTTAGAGGGGAGCAGGGTGGGTTTTGTGTTAGCCCTGTGTTGGGTATTAAGGAGGGCACATACTGCACGGAGCTCTGGGTGTTATACAAAAATAATGAATCATGGATCACTACATCACAAACTCATGGTGTATTGTATGGTGACTCTCATAACATAATTAAATTAAATTAAATTAAATTTTTTTTAAAGTCACAAAATTCAGCCTTTCCCACTTTCCAAGACAATTGCTATGTGTGCACTGCCTCTGTGTCTGTCTCTCACCCTCCTCCATGAGTGTGCTTCCCTCTGTACTGCAGCAGCCATAATCCATTTCTCTTCCAAACCACATCTCCACTCTTTCTACCTTCTTTGATGCGGCCTCTTCTCTACCTTTAGTTGTGGATTTTGTTCTGCTAGTCTTCCGGTCAGTTTCTGGAGTATTTAGGATGATTTGATAGTTATTTGGTTGTATCCGTGGGACAAGGAGAGCCTAGGGTCCTCCTACTCCCACCGTATTCCGACAACCTATATCAAACCTATAAACATTAACAATAATTCTTTTATATCATCCAATATCCAGTCAATATTCAAATTTTTTCCATTTGTCTCATAAATGTGTCATCAATATTTTCCCTCTTGCTTTCTTTATGGTCCCTGAATGCACTTATTTCTCCTTCAATCTATCCTTCATTGAGGAGCTAGTTAATTCCCACCAAAATAGCTCTGCACATGTCACTCCCCTCCTTGAAATAGTTATATTTTATAGCCCAGCCTTTACTCAAACTCAACTTTCCATCATATTCCTAATATGCAAAAATAAAAGATAGTTTTATTTTGTGTAAGTGATGTATTATTGAACATCTATCATAATTCAAATCTCCTATAACCCAAATCTAATTGTGATAGTGAATGAAGTCTTGTTTTTTTAACTGGCTAAAGTAGCACCACTATTTCCAAGACCATCTTCAAGGTCCCGGGTTTTACTTGGCAATGGCATACACAGTTCACAATATCATTAACCTTTACATTAATGGAATTTTTAAGAAGTTTTTAAGTAGGTTGAAGTTTTAAAAAGGTATGTTACCTGTAAAGTGATCATTTAATTCATACTTTTTATTTTAAATCTTGGATATTTTGGTTTTGCATATAATACAACTAACAATACTGCATCATTATTCCTTAAGCATATTGTCTGTTGTTATATCTCTACATACAGGAATATCTCTTAGCCCTTCTTTGCCTAAAGAATTCTTATCAATTCTCTAAGATCCATATATAATAGCTCTGTCTCCTTGAAGCCTTCTCTCATCTTGTTTAGACAGAATTAATTATTCCCTTTTCTTTTTCTAAAATGCCTTGCTTATATGTCTGCTGCATCACTTATTATGGTATGACTTTTATGCTATTCACATTATTATATCATTGTAGTTAGTATGTTAGTATGCACTTCATGGGTAGACCCTTAAATTTGCCCTATCTGAGCTTAGCATAGTACTTACAGTTGATATTCAGAAAATGTTGACTTCAAGTAATCCTGTGGGGTTATTATAAAGATTAAATGTAATCATTTGTGTCAGTTGCCTGATACAGTGCCTAGTAAGTGTTCAGTAAAGTTTCTCTTCTTTCTTCCTTATACTTCTGCCTCATTTCTCTCAACTCCCTATATATTCTATCCATGAGAAGAAAATACAGATTTCTTGCTTTAATGGTTCACATGTCTCTTCTTCAGGGTACTGACTATTTTCCACCTTTCATTCATTTATTTATTTAAGGTCACTGGCTCTCTTCACATCAGAGTTCCTCCTAAGTCAGCAAACAGTGGGAAGATGACATCTCCACCATTCCTGGATGCCAATCCTATGGAGAACCCAGCTCTAATTAGTGACATCAAGATTGATCCCCCAGAAGAACTTCTGGCTAATGATTTCAACCTGCCCCAGATGGAACCAGTCGACCTCTCTTTTCACAAGCCCAAGTCTCCTCTACAGCATGCCAGCCTGCTGCAAGCTCCAGTACACCCTCCCAAGCCACAGCCTGCTCTTCAGACACGTGTAGTGTCCACATCAACATCTGACACAGGCACATCAGCAAATATCCCTACTGTTCTGAATCCAAGCTCTATCCTGGCCTCCTCTCAGGGCACTGGTGGCCAGCAGATCTTACATGTGATTCACACCATTTCCTCAGTCAGGCTGCCAAATAAGTTGGGTGGCCTGAAGACATTCCCAGTGGTGGTACAGTCACTGCCCATGGTGTATACTACTTTGCCTGCAGATGGGGGCCCTGCAGCCATTACAATCCCACTCATTGTAGGAGATGGCAAAAATTCTGGATCAGGTAAGCATCAGTGTGCCTCTTTCCTGGACCTTACCTTCCTCCATCTATTCTCTTTTAGAATTGTCCTATCTCCTATCTCTTTTCACCCCTTCTAATTATTCTTGCACACAGCTTCAACAATAATTATTTATAAATGCTATTTTAATCATGTCTCTTTGTGCTTAAGAACATACAATGATGCTCTTTTGTTTAGTATGCTTCTCAAATTGGGGAATACATATTTTTGAGTGAAATGCTATCTATCTTCCTGGAACCTGTGTGTTATTTAATACTAACTAATTTAAAACATTTTATATTTTAAAAATATGATTTTATTAGAGAAAAATGTACAATTTGAATAACCTTTTAAGATAAAACATAATTGTCAAAAATAGTTTTAAGCTTATTAAGGCACACAGCCTGGGACTTTCTAGGAAAATGTGTTTATTTGTCTTTGCCATTAGGAATGCTTTTGTGGAAAAGTTGAGAACATTTTTAGCCCTACATATGTAGCCAGTCTTAGCACCTGCCTCTTCCAATACCATATCTTTTCTCTTCCCTACAGGTAAAATAGTCTTCTTTGAAATATTGCCATCTTCCCTGTGCTCCCCTCCATTTGGCATCTATCAGCCTCCATTTTACTTTTTTATTTGCCTGCATCACAAGTATATGGGCATTCTTCCCAACTGAATTGTAAATTCCTCGAGGACAAAACTATCTTATTTCCATTTGTGCATCTCCAGAACACTTAACACAGTGGTAGAAATTAGTTGTCTTGCAACAAATTATTTGATAAACAAACTTGAAAATATGTACAGGAGAGAGTTAATATGCTGTAATATTCCTTTTTATTTAATCTTAAAAATAAGTTCAGTATTCAGAAAGGAATAAATTAAGCCCCTCTTTCACCACTATCTCCCATCCACCCAGTTCCTATCATGGAGGTGTATCTACTTTAGTTTGTAATTGGAAATGATCAAAGACAATTATATGGCCTCTGAAGTGGTTCAAAATATTTAGCTTCACCACAGCTGTAGAATGACAATCAGTTTTGTATGTTGTGCCTTAGGAAGGACATTTGGAAGTTGGAGTATAATCAGAAGAGAGAATTAGGATGGTAAGAGATTTCAATCGCATGTCAAACAAGTGGCTGATAAATATTTAGCATGAATTAAAAAGACCAAAAGGGAGATATGTGGGTGGAAATGACTAAAAATCAGATCTTAGCTCAGTATAAAAAACATTTTCTAACAGTTTTCTCTTTCAAATTTAATGTCTTGTAATCATCCCATCACCAAATGTAGGAGACTGAAAAACAACATACTAGCATCAAATTGCTGAGACTCTGTAGTGTTTTTCTGAATAAAAATGATAATCTACTAGTAGTTAATTGTGGTAATGATAAGTGTTTATAACAGTTTTGTTTTTGAGATTCCCGTGAGGGGGTTAATTAAAATTTCGGTATCAGTTCTCATATGGGAAGAGAGAGACAAACAAAAAAGGAAATAGGAAAATCAAATTCCCTGAGAATTTGCTGATATCAAGGTAATGATGGCACCAAGCAATGATTTGATAGGACTTTGAATTGCCCCCATAATATCCATCAGTCAACCAGAGCCACTCTAAATACACAAAATAAGTTTTAAACATTTCAGTGTAATTTTAAACTAAAGCCATTAGCTCAATAGTCTCCAAAATGGTATGCTTACACCTTGGTTGGGAGGTGGGGGAGTGAGGAATGCACACAAAATAATTGGAGCACAAGAAGAAAGTATAAACATTTCTATTTCTATTTTCTCACTCTTTACATGTTACCTTTATTTTTCATAATGTAAACAAAATTTTAGTATATTAGTACATTTGTGACATACATGCACACACACATGCGGAGACACACATACATAATGAGATGTATGCTTAAAACTTTTTAGTGAATGATACACAATCAGTGTATGGAGGTAACTGCACTAGACAAATGTTCCACTCCCCCCCCCCAATCTTATTGCCACCCTTAAGTTTCTTCTATATAGAAATTTTGAAGCTTAAACTACATCTAGGAGACTGGTGACCATTGATTGAGTTTTGGTAGGGATCAGAAACATCAGGGGTTGATAATAAATATTTGAGGGCTTCTCCCAAAATAGGTGGAAGGTAAGGATGCCAACATGTATCAAGCACATACTAGGTACTAGGTATGTGTTTCATCTCACTGACACATTTCCATTTAGGGGCACAAAAGCCAAAAGAAATGTTCTCGTTTCTGAGGTGAACCTAGGCATCGATCTTGGACAGCCAGTGAACTATTCAGAAAGTTCAACTCAACATACACACATTGAGCTTGACTTTTCAGGACACCCTTGTTGTGGTGGCTGGAGATAGAAAGTTAAATTATACTCAGGCCCTATCCTATTGAACTCAGTGATCCTAGAGAAGCTCATTCCAATGGTACCAGAATGCTCCTTACTACCTTTCCCTCAAAGGAATTTTAGCTATGCTGAAAATTTTAGGGGAGAGGAAAAGATGGCAGAGGAGTAGGGGACGCTATTCCAACCAGTCCCCTGAATTGAGCTAGATATCTACCAGACCACCCTGAACACCCACAAAGTCAGTCTGAGATGGGAGAAGGTATATCTGGATCTCTACAAACACAATATCAGGCAGATGGTTTCAAGGTATGAAACGGGGAGCCATGATTCTGCGGGCGGATAATAGAAGATAAATGGAAGGGGGAGGGAGCCACGGGTATCCTGCACCACCTGTGGGCAAAAGCTTCCCACGCTGGGGACAAAGCATGGACTCCCAGACAGGCAGGGAAAGGAAAAGGACTTTAGGGCAGCCGCCAGACTGAGGTCTGGAGTGCCAGGGCTGAGTGTGTGAACTAGGGGCAGCTGGGAGTTTTGGAAGCACAAAGGGCAGAGATGTGCCCCCATACCCAACCTGGAGGCAAGGATTGGGAGCCCTGCTGAGGGATGCACAAACCAGGATGCTGCAGTTTATAGCAGCACAGAAAGAAACGGAGATAGTGTGGCCTGGAGAACTCACTGAAGAACAGAGTTCAATCTCTCTACTCTGAGGCAGAGGGTTGGAAACAATCTCTTCTGTTCTGACTCTCGGAAAAGACACAGAAAGCTGCCAGGGAAAGCCACCAGAGAACAAAAATAAAAAAAAAAACTAGTTTACACTGAGCCCATTTGCCCCCACACACAGGGGGAAGGGCAACGCTGTCCAAACAGGGTTGCCTGACTAACAGTGCAGCAGTCCCCTCCCCCCAGAAAACAGGCTGGGAGAAAAAGAGGCTGACAACCCTAAGGTCTCTATAAAACAAGTGCATCTTGCTTTGGTCGGAGTCAATAATTTGGACACTGTACATTCCCTCAACCATCCCTCAACAGAATGACAAGGAGGAGGAACCCCCAAAATAGGAGAAACTCAGAGACTGTGACTTCTGCCACAGACTTACAAATGGATTCAGATATAACGAATATGTCAGAGACGGAATTCAGGCTAGCAATTGTGAAGACGATAGCTAGAATGGAGAAATCGATTAATGGCAACATAGAGTCTCTAAGGGCAGAAATGAAAGCTGAATGGGCAGAACTTAAAAATGCTATCAATGAGATCCAGTCTAATCTACATACTCTTAACAGCAGGGGTAAGTGAGGCAGAACAACAAATTAGTGATCTAGAAGACCAATTGATAGAAAAGGAAAAAGAGGAGGCCAGGGAGAAACAATTCAAAATCCATGAAAACAGAATCAGAGAAATAAGTGACACCATGAAACAATCCAGTATCAAAATTATTGCGATCCTTGAGGGGCTAGAGAGAGAGGGGGGACTAGAAGATATATTTGAGCAAATCATAGCTGAGAATTTCCCAAATCTGGGGAACGAAACAGACATTAGAGGCCTGGACACAGAGAAAACCTCTCCCAAGATCAAGGGAAGCAGGCCAATGCACTGGCATATAAAGGTAAAACTTGCAAATCTTAGAATGAGGGAAACCATCTTGAAGGCAGTTAAGGGAAAGAGATTCCTTACATAGAGAGGGAGGAACATGAGAATAATGTCAGGCCTATCCACAGAGACCTGGCAAGCCAGAAAGGCCTGGCAGGACATATTCAGGGTACTAAACCAGAAGGACATACAACCAAGAATACTTTATCTGGCAAGACTGTCATTAGAATGAATGGAGAGATGCAGACCTTCCAAGACTGGCAGAAACTGAAAGAATATGTGACCACTAAGCCAGCCCTGCAAGAAATATTAAGGCGAGTCCTATAAAAGGAGAAAGACCCCAAGAGTGATATAGAACAGAAATTTGTAGAGACAGTCTATAGAAAGAATGTCTTCACAGGCAACATGATGACAATTAATTCATTCTTTCAATAATCACTCTCAACGTGAATGGATAGTCCCATAAAATGGCACAGAGTTGCAGATTGTATAAAAAGACAGGACCCATCCATATTGCTATCTACAAGAGACTCATTTTGAACCCAAAGATACATCCAGACTGAAAGTGAAGGGATGGAGATCCATCTTCCATGCCAGCGGACCTCAAAAGAAAGCTGGGGTAGAAATTCTTATATCAGAAAAATTAGATTTTAAGCTAAAGACTGTAGTTTTAGACAGAGAAGGACACTATATCATTCTTAAAGGGTCTATCCAACAAGACGATCTAACAACTGTAAATATCTATGCCCCCAACATGGGCGCAGCCATCTACATATGCCAAGTGTTAACCAAAATAAAGAGTCATATTTATAATAGTACGTTAATTGTAGGAGACCTCAATACTCCACTCTCAGCAATAGACAGATCATCTAAGCACAAAATCAACGAAGAAACAAGAGCTTTTAATGAAACACTGGACCAGATGGACCTCATAGATATATACAGAACATTCCACATTTAAGGAGCAGAATACTCATTCTTCTCCAGCACACACAGAACTTTCTCCAGAATAGACAACATAGTCACAAATCAGGTCTCAACTGATACCAAAAGACTGAGATTAGTCCCTGCGTATTCTCAGACCATAATGCTTTAAAACTGGAACTCAATCCCAAGAAAAAATTTGGCAGAAATTCAAACACTTGGAAGCTAAAGACCACTCTGCTCAAGAATGTTTTGGTGAACCAGGAAATCAAAGAACTTAAACATTTCATGGAAACCAGTGAGAACGAAAACACATTGGTCCAAAACTGATGGGACACTGCAAAGTCTGTCCTACAGGGGAAATATATAGCCATCCAAACCTCACTCAAAAAAATAGAAAAATCCCGAATTCAACAACTAACTCTACACCTTAAAGAGCTAGAGATAAAGCAACAAATGATGCCTATGCCACACATTAGAAGAGACATAATTAAGATTAGAGCAGAGATCAATGAATTAGAAACCAGAAACACAGTAGATCAGATCAATGAAACTAGAAGCTAGTCCCTTGAAATAATAAGATTGAAAAACCACTGGCCAGACTTATCCAAAAGAAAAGAGAAAGGACCCAAAATTAATAAAATGATGAATGAAAGGGGAGAGATCACGACTAACACCAAGGAAATAGAAACAATTATTATCAACAATTATATGCCAATAAATTAAGCAACCTGGAAGAAATGGATACCTTCCAGAAACCTATAAACTGCCAAAGCTGAAACAGGAAGAAATTGACAATCTGAATAGGCCAATAACCAGTAACTAGATTGAAGCGGTGATCACAAACTTCCCAAAAAACCAGAGTCCGGGGCTTGATGGATTCCCTGGGGATTTCTACCAAACATTCAAGAAAGAAATAATACCTATTCTCCTGAACCTGTTTCAAAAAATAGAAACAAGAGGAAAGGTTCCAGACTCATTCTATGAGGCCAGCATTACCTTGATCCCTAAACCAGGCAAAGACCCCAGCAAAAAGGAGATTTTCAGACTGATATCCCTGATGAATATGGATTCCAAAATCCTCAACAATATCCCAGCTAAGAGAATCCAACAATACTTTAAAAGGATCATCCACCACGACCAAATGGGACTTACCCCAGGACGCAAGGGTGGTTCAACATTCGCAAATCAATCAAAGTGATACAGGACATTAACAAAAGACAAGAACCATATGATCCATTAAATTGATGCAGAAAAAGCATTTGACAAAATACAGCATACGTTCCTGATTAAAACTTTTCAGAGCATAGGGATAGAGGGAACAATCCTCAAGTTCATAAAATCCATCTATGAAAAATCCACAGCGAATATCATCCTCAATGGGGGAAAGATGACAGCCTTTCCCTTAATATCAGGAACACGTCAAGGATGCCACATTCATCACTATTGTTCAACATAGTACTAGAAGTCCTAGGAATAGCAATCAGACAACAAAGAAATAAAAGGTATTCAAATTGGCAAAGGAGAAGTCAAACACTCTCTTTTCACAGATGACATGATCCTTTATGTGGAAAATCCAAAAGAATCCATCCCCAAATTTCTAGAACTCATACAGCCATTCAGTAATGTGGCAGGATACAAAATCAATGCACAGAAATCAGTTGCTTTCTTATACACTAACAACACAACTGTAGAAAGAGAAATTAGAGAATTCATTCCATTTACAATAGCACCAAAAACCATAAGATACCTCAGAATAAACCTAACCAAAGAGGTAAAGGATCTATACTCTAGGAACTACAGAACACTCATGAAAGAAATTGAAGAAGACACAAAAAGATGGAAAAACATTCCATGCTCATGGATCGGAAGAATAAACATTGTTAAAATGTCTATGCTACCCAGAGGAATCTATACCTGCAACGCCATCCCGATCAAAATACCAATGGCATTTTTCAAAGTGTTGGAACAAACAATCCTAAAATTTGTATGGAATCAGAAAAGACCCCGAATCGCCAAGGAAATGTTGAGAACGAAAAACAAACTTGGGGACATCACGTTGCCTTATTTCAAACTATATTACAAAGCCATGATCACCAGCACAGCATGGTACTGGCACAAAAACAGACATATAGACCAATGGAACAGAATAGAGAACCCAGATATGGACCGTCCACTTTATGGTCAAATAATCTTCAACAAAGTAGGAAAAAAATATACAATGGAAAAAAGACAGTCTCTTCAATAAATGGTGCTTGGGAAATTGGACAGCTATATACAGAAGAATGAAACTCGACCATTCTCTAACACCATTCACAAAGATAAACTCAAAGTGGATGAAAGACCTCAATGTGAGACAGGAATCCATCAAAATCCTAGAGGAAATCATAGGCAGTAACCTCTTTGACATCGGCCACAGCAACTTCTTTCAAGATACATCTCCAAAAGCTAGTGAAGCAAAAGCAAAAATGAACTTTTGGGACTTCATCAAGATAAAAAGCTTCTGCACAGCAAAGGAAACAGTCAACAAATCGAAGAGACAACCCACAGAATGGGAGAAGATATCTGCAAATGACACTACAGACAAAGTGCTGATTTCGAAGATCTATAAAGAACTTCTCAAACTCAACACCCAAGAAACAAATAATCAAGTCAAAAAATGGGCAGAAAACATGAAGACACTTCTCCAAAGAAGACATACAAATGGCTAAGAGACATGAAAAAATGTTCAACATCATTAGCTATCAGGGAAATTCTAATCAAAACCACATTGAGATACCACCTTACACCAGTTAGAATTGCAAATTTGACAAGGCAAGAATCAACAAATGTTGGAAAGTTGTGGAGAAAGGAGAACCCTTTTACACTGTTGGTGGGAATGCAAGTTGGTACAGCGACTTTGGAAAATCCACTAAATGTTTTAGGATTTGTACAGAAGAAACCAGAATCCTAGATGCAGTGTGGAGGTTCCTCAAAAATTAAAAATAGAGCTACCCTATGACCTCAGCAATTGCACTCCTGGGTGTCCAAAGACACAGATATAGTGAAAAGAAGGGCCATATGCACCCCAATGCTCATAGCAGCAATGTCCACAATAGCCAAACTGTAGAAAGAGCCGAGCTGCCCTTCAACAGATGAATGGATAAGGAAGATGTGGTCCATATATACAATGGAATATTACTCAGCAATCAGAAAGGATGAATACCCAACTTTTACATCAACATGGATGGAACTACGTGAAATAAGTCAAGCAGAGAAAGACAGTTATCACATGGTTTCACTTATATGTGGAACATAAGGAATAGCATGGAGGACATTAGGAGAAGGAAGGGTAAAATGAAGGGGGCAAAATCAGAGGGAGAGATGAACCATGAGAGACTATGGACTCTGAGAAACAAACAGGGTTTTAGAGGGGAGGGAGGTGGGGGGATGGGTTAGCCCAGTGATGGATATTAAGGAGGGCATGTACTGCATGGAGCACTGGGTGTGATACAAAAACAATGGATCATGGATCACCACATCAAAAACTAATGATGTATTGTTTGGTGACTAACATAACATAATAAAGTAAAATTTAAAAAAATAAAATAAAATAAAATAAAAAATGGCAAAAAAAAAATTAAAAAAATAAAATAAGTCTGAAAAAAATACTGGGAGGGAAAAATGAAACACACCGAAACCAGAGAGGGAGACCAACCATAAGAGACTCTTAATCTCAGGAAACAAACTGAGTGTTGCTGGAGCGGTGGGGTGTGGGAAGGATGGGGTGGCTGGGTGATAGACATTGGGGAGGGTATGTGCTATGGTGTGTGCTGTGAATTGTGTAAGACTGATGAATCACAGGCGTGTACTTCTGAAATAAATAATACATTTTATGTTTTTTAAAAAAAGAAGATAGTAGGAAGGGAAAAATGATGGGTGGGATATCAGGTGGGGAGATGAACCATGAGAGACTATGTACTCTGAGAAAGAAACTGAGGGTTTTAGAGGAGAGCGGGGTGGGGAATGCGTTAGTCTGGTGGTTTGTTTTGAGAAGGGCATGTGCTGCATGGTGCACTGGGTGTTATATGAAAACAATGAATCATGGGACACTACATCAAAAACTAATGATGTATGGTGAGTAACATAATAAAATAAAAAATATAAAAATATAAAGAAAAGAAAATTTTTAAATGTTTTTCTCTTCCTTCCATACAAATGCACTTCTTTCTTCTTTGCTTTTTCTTTATATTGCTGCTACTTCTCATTGTGAGCCATACTGGGAATCCTGAAAATGATACAGAGGCACACATATTTGTAGCCCACACTGCTCTTTTTCTTTGATTTTAGTGAAAGTTTACCCCACCTCCATGTCTTCACTGGATATCCCAAGTGACAGTGAGGAGAGTGCAACTGAGAGTGGATCTTTGGCTTTACGGGGTATTCAGGGACTACAGCAAGAGTGAGTACTTTTGTCTTTATTTCAGGTCTGTCTGTGTATATATGTGTGTGTCTGTTGTAGAAGTGGAACAAATTCTCAGACACAATAGTAGGCATTTAAGGATAACAAAATATAGGTAAATTGCCTTCCCGGAGCAGGTGTGAGTTTGTAATCACACATGTGCATGGACATGCATGTTATGGCAGATTTATGCCCTAATTGTCTAGACCACCAATTTTGCCTTTGAAAAATCTATAAATTTCCCATAAAGTACAGTTGCATACTGTTTCTTTCTGTAAGTTTACAGCACTCTTGTCTTCCAGTGTTGTAACTAATAAAGTAGTTGTCTTGCATTTTAACAACTATGTAGTATGAAAAAAATACATTTATGTAAATACAAAAATGAGTCTTGTTAGAGTGAAATGCTCACACTGGGAACAGAAACCACCCAAGGAAACATTATCACCTCCTGGGACCTCCACTTACTCAGAAGAATGTCCTAGTTGAGGGAATTGCTTGACCTATTTCAATTATTTCTTCTCTTGAAGGCCTACTCTTAAATTTGCATAAATTAAATGCATGTATGAAGGGATTCCATTGTATGTAAGTCCATTTATTTAGCTTCCATAGTAAAATCATTCTTTGGTACTATCTCTCTTTCTTTGCTCAGACCATCAGCAATGACCCAAATGCGGGGAGAAGAGTCTCTTGAGTTGAAGAGAAGACGGATTCACCAATGTGATTTTGCAGGATGCAGCAAAGTGTACACCAAGAGCTCCCACCTGAAAGCCCACCACAGAATCCATACAGGTCTGTGCACCTCCACCTCATTCCCAACACACACACACACACACACACACACACACACACACACACACGAGTCTGTGAGAGATAGGAAGAGAAGAAAATATTAAAACAAAGACTGATCCATTTATACTCATGGACAGAGGCTTCATTAATGGATTTTACCCTTATGTCTTGTTCCTACTTAGTTGTAGCTTTTATAAAACCAACCTAGGAAAACACTAAGTCTGGTGTCTCCTGAATAGGCATTATCCACATTAAACACTCGTGGGTCTTTCTAATAGGGAAGTAATAACACTTATGCTAAGATTAAGCAGCTAAGACATCACTCCCTCCCTTGTTACCAGAGTCCCACAGGTTTTACTGAGTATTGAAAAGCACAAAGGCAATTTAAATTAAGTGAAATTAGAGCAGGGTTTTGGAGCTAAGCACAATCCACTAACCTATAGCATACCTTTGCTCACTAGAAAAAAATGTGCATATTAAAAAAAAATAATAAGTAAAGCAGACCTGATGGAGATTGTGTCAAACTGGAGGGCACTGCCCCATGTAAGGAGAACTGTCATTCAAATCCAACTAAGCATTACCAAATTTCCCAAATTTTAAAGAAAACCAGAAAATCAAGATTTTTATGTGAAATGTCCTAGATTTTGAATGTTGGCATATAATTAAAAATTATTATAGCACCATGGACTCAAAGAAACCTGCCTATGAGCCAGATGTAGATTCTCAGTCATTAATTTGTACCCTCTGCTTTGGAAACTCCTTCTCCCCAATAATCTCCAGCTCAGAATTGAGTCTTGGACACCATGGATAAGAAAGGGACCTTTCTTTCTTGTAAACATGCACTGCATTACATTTGCTGTGTTAGGATTTGTATAGAAGAAACCAGAATCCTAGATGCTGTGCCCTGAAGCTCTGAACAGGTGATCAGTTTCCAGGCTGCATTGTCACAACATTCCTCTGACACTCTTCTTATTGATGTTTTCTTTGCTTCCCCTTGATGTAGAGTGCAGGCTGATTCCACTCACATACACATACACACACACACACACACACGTGTGTGTGTGCATGTATGTGTATGTGTGTATATATGTGTACATACATGTACAAATATATATTATTTAAACTAAAAATTTCAAAATGTAAAAGTAGAATAGTTTACTATACTCTCATGTACCCTTCACCCAACTTTAACAATTATATCAGTATATGGCCAATTTTGTATTTTCACATTCCTACTGACTCCTGCATTCTCCACAGTAATATTTTGGAACAAATTCCAGACATCATATCATCTTAGTCATAAATACTTCAAAATATATTTATTTTATTTTATTTAAAAAATAAGCAAAAGATTACTATCACATAAAAATTCCTGATATCAATTTTCCATAATATTAATATAGTATTTCTTTTAAATTTGTTTTTTAACTCAAGTTAGTTAACATATACTGTATTATTAGTTTCAGGGTAGAGTTTAATGATTCATTAATTGTATATAACACTCAGTGCTCATAACAACAAGTGCTCTACTTCTCCCAGTTATCCCATCCCATCACCCACCTCACCTCCAGGAACATTCAGTTTCTTCCCTATAGTCAAGAGTCTCTTATGATTTGCCTCTCTCTCTGTATTTATCTTATTTTTCCTTCCCTTCCACTATGTTCATCTGTTTTGTTTCCTAAATTCCAAACATGCGTGAAATCATATGGTATTTATCTTTCTCTGATTGATTTAGTTTACTTAGCATATTACACTCTAGTTCTATCCACATTGCCACAAATGGCAAGATTTCATTATTTTTGATGGCTAAGTAATATTCCTCTGTGTGTGTGTGTGTGTGTGTGTGTGTGTGTGTGTGATCTCTTATTTTTCCATTCATTTGTTGATGAACATCTGGGCTCTTCCCATAGTTTGGCAAATATAGACATTGCTGCTATGAATGCTGGGGTGCATGTGCCCTCTTCAATCACTATTTTGTGTCCTTTAGATAAATACCTAGTAGTGCAATTGTGGGTCATAGGGTAGATCTATTTTTAACATTTTGAGAAACCTCTATAGTTTTTCAGACTGGCTTCACCAGTTTGCATTCCCACCAAGAGTGTAAGAGCGTTCCTTTCTTCACATCCTTGCTGACATTTGTTGTTTCTTGAGTTGATAATTTTAGCAATTCTGAGCAGTGTGAAATAGTATCTCATTGTGGTTTGATTTGTATTTCTCTGATGATGAGTGATGTTAAGCAAATTTTCATGTGTCTGTTAGCCATTTATCTGTGTTCCTTGGAGAAAAGTCTGTCCATGTCTCCTGCCCATTTCTTGACTGAAGTATTTGATTTTTAGATGTTGAGTTTTATAAGTTCTCTTTTTTTATGTTCAGTTAGCCAAAATATACTACATCATTAGTTTTTGATGTAGTATCCAATGATTCATTAGTTGCATATAACACCCAATGCTCATGACATGTGACCTTCTCAATACCATCACCCATTTACCCTATCCCCCAACCCCCTCCCTTCTGTAACCCTCAGTTTGTTTCCTGGAGTCCAGAGTCTCTCATGGTTTGTCTCCCTCTCTGATTTCTTCCCATTCAGTTCTCCCTCCCTTCTTCTGTGGTCTTCTGCACTAATCCTTATGTTCCACATAGGAGTGAAACCATATGATAATTGTCGTTCTCTGCTTGACTTATTTCACTTAGCATAACCCTCTCCAGTTCCATCCATGTGGATGAAAATGGTGGGTATTCATCCTTTCTGTTGGCTGAGTAATATTCTGTTGCATATATGAACCACATCTTCTTTATCCATTCATCTTTTGAGGACATCTCAGCTCTTTCCACAGTTTGGCTATTATGGACACTGCTGCTATGAACATTGGGGTGCAGGTGCCCCTTCTTTTCACTACATCTATATCTTTAGGATAAATACATAGTAATGAAATTGCTGGGTCATAAGGTAGCTCTATTTTTAATGTCTTGAGGAACCTCCATACTGTTTTCCAGAGTGGCTGTATCAGTTTGCATTCCCACCAACAGTGTAAGAGGGTTCCCCTTACTCAACACCTGTGCCAACATTTGTGGTTTCTTGGCTTATTAATTTTTGCCATTCTAACTGGTGTAAGGTGGTATCTCTTCGTGGTTTTGATTTGTATTTCCCTGATGGCTAATGATGTTGTGCATTTTTTCATATGTCTGTTAGCCATTTGTATGTCTTCTTTGGAGAAATGTCTGCTCATGTCTTCTGCCCATTTCTTGACTGGATTATTTATTTTTGGGGTGTTGAGTTTGAGAAGTTCTTTATACATCTTGGATACCAATCCTTCATCTGTAATGTCATTTGAAAATATGTTCTCCCATTCCGTGGGTTTCCTCATAGTTTTGTTGACTGTTTCCTTTGCTGGGCAGAAGCTTTTTATCTTGATGAAGCCCAAAGTTCATTTTTGCTTTTGTTTCCCTTGCCTTCAAGACTTCTTGGAAGAAGTTGCTGTGGTCGATGTCAAGGAGGTTACTGCATATGTTCCCCTCTAGGATTTTGATGGATTCCTGTCTGACATTGAGGTCTTTCATTCATTTTGAGTTTATCTTTTTGTATTGTGTAAGAGAATGGTCCAGGTTCATTCTTCTGCATGTGGCTCTTTAGTTTTCCAAGCACCATTTATTGAAGAGACTTTCCTTTTTCCATTGGATATTCTTTCCTGCTTTATCCAAAATTAGTGGACCATAGAGTTTAGGGTCCATATCTGGGCTCTCTATTCTGTTCCGCAGATCCATGAGTCTGTTTTTGTTCCAATACCATAGTGTCTTGATGACAATAGCTTTGTAATATAGCTTGAAGTCGGGCATTGTGTTTCCTCCAGCTTTGGTTTTATTTTTCAACATTCTTTTGGCTATTTAGGGTCTTTTCTGGTTCCATACAAATTTTAGGAGTGTTTATTCCAGATCTGTGAAAAATGTCAGTGGTATTTTGATAAGGATTGCACTGAAAGTGTAGATTGCTCTGGGCAGCATAGACATTTTAGCAATGTGTATTCTTCCAATTCATGAGCATGGAATGTTTTTCCATCTCTTTGTGTTTTCCTCCATTTCTTTCATACATGTTCTGTAGTTTCTAGAGTATAGATCCTTTGTATCTTATGTTTTTTGGTGCTATTGTAAATGGAATTGATGCCTTAATTTCTTTCTTAAGTTACATTTTATTGTATAGAAATGCAACACATTGTGCAC